TTCCTTAATAGTTTTGAGTAAAAAATGGTAACCTAATGGGTAAAGATAGAATTACTAAAGATTATTAAAATGTTCATTTGCTTCTTATTAAGAACAATTCCATGAAGAACTAGGTAAAATTCTGAAGTGCAAATATTAGAATATAAAATTTTAGTTATCTTAATTGATTTAACAGTATTATTCACTCTTTCAATAAATATTCATTGATTATTATATGTGTGGTACTATATACAGAATCTAGGTAAAATATAAAGAAGGATAATAACAGGACTTCTTTGTTGTAATTGATGATGAGAAAAATTTATGTAGGTGACATTAGGGCATATAGTGAAAGACTGTAACGTAATGGTGCCTGGGTAGCTCAGTCGGTTGAGCAGCTGACTCTTGATTTTGGCTCAGGTCATGATCTCAGAGTCCTGGGATGGAGCTCCACGTCAGGCTCCACACTCAATGGAGGGTCAGCTTGGGGATTCTCGCTCTTGCTCTCTCTCTCTGCCCCTCCCCCACCTCATGCACACGCTCTCTCTTTCTAAAATAAATAAATCTTTACTTTTATTCTTTTAAAGATTTTATTTATTTGACAGAGAGAGACACAGCAAGAGAGGGAACACAAGCAGGGAGAGCGGGAGAGGGAGAAGCAGGCTTCCCGCGGAGCAGGGAGCCCGATGCGGGGCTCGATCCCCGGACCTGAGCCGAAGGCAGAGGCTTAACGACTGAGCCACCCAGGCGCCCCTCTAAAATAAATAAATCTTTAAAAAGATAAAGAATGTAATTTAATTTACTGGCTGAGGTGGAAAGACTCTGGGGAAGCTAGAAATAAAATTGCTGGGACAATAATATTGAGTATCATAAGAAGTTATTTGTGCTTTATTTTGGGGGCAACTGGAGTTATGAGGATCCCAAGTCTGGAGGGTCAACCTAAAAGCCCCATTTTAGGGGCATGTGGGCAGCCCAGTCAGTTACATGTCGGCCTTCAGCTCAGGTCACGATCTCAGGGTCCTAGAATCCAGCCCCATGTGGGGTTCCCTGCTCAGCGGGGAATCTGCTTCTCCCTCTCCATTTGCCCCTCCTTCCCGGCTCATGCTCATGCACCTTCTCTCTCTCTCAAATAAATAAATAAAATCTTTTAAAAAAAAAAATGCCACATTTTAGGGGCTCCTGGGTCAGTTAAGTGGCTGCCTTCGGCTCAGGTCATGATCCCAGGGTCCTGGGATCGAGCCCCATGTTGGGCTCCCTGCTCAGCAGAGAGCCTGGTTCTCCCTCCCTCTGCCTGTCTCTCTGCCTACTTGTGCTCTCTATCTCTCTGTCAAATAAATAAAATCTTTAAAAAATAAAAATAAAATGCCACATTTTAGATATATTAATTTGAGATGGATTAATCAGAAAGGGGCCAATGCTTAGCTCATGGAGGTATATGGCTTAGGTTATGGAGTTTCAGTTAGAATGATCAGTAGGGAAATGACTGAAATGGTCACATGCCCAATGATATACTGCCATAATAATACATAAGGGGCAAGGTAAGAGAGCAGAGATGGACAGAAATAGAGAAGTCAGGTGGTAAATTCTGTTTTGAAGAGGAAGTTGAGAAGGCAATTTTTTGTTATATTCTTTCACTTTGAGATGATGTTTTTATCAATGGAATCTTTTTTCACCAATGGCACACGATCCCCGTTTCCACCCCCCGCACCGCTGCCACCATCACCACCTGGACTACCGTCTCCGCCACCGCCTCGGCCATGTCTATCACCTCCACCATGCCTACCACAAATCCTGCCACGTCCACCATAACCGAATAACAAGAATAACAGCCATTGCATTTCCTGAATTCCTCTTACCTTACAGGCACTATAGCAAATGCTTCCTACTTAAGCCTTACAGTTATTATTTTATAAAGTGAGGATAGTGAATGTAAGGTACAGGTATTAGGCAGTTTGCCTGGGATCATAAGTCAATAGTTAAAACAGGCAGGTTTCAAACTTGAGCATTTCTGATTCCAAAGTCCACGCTTTCTCCAATATTTGCCGCTCCTTTAGATGCACAGACAACAAATCATATAAGTAAAATACCTGTACAATGTATAACTAGGTGTGGTTAAATGGAGGCAACAGCTGTTTGCATTTGATTAAAAACAAAAACAAAAACAAAACTGAAGCACTGACTAGATGCACAAGTAGAATAACATAGTTTTAAAGAAATAAACATGAAATTTAAGGGAGAGAGTCAGATATGAAGCTATAAGTACGATCTGGGAGTCATTCACTTAGAGCCAGACTTGAATCAATGTAAAGAAGCAATTCAAATAAAGAAATGGAAAGAGGCAAAGAACATGAATTTATGAGATACTACCATGATTAGGCAAAAGGTCCTAGAACTTTTTGTTAGAAAACAAGTCTGTGGTAGGGATGGAACCAGTACTGTGTCAGAGAAGCTGAAAAAGGAGATCATTTCTAAAAGATTAGCATTTAATGGACTGACAGTTAAAATCTAGGAGTTCTCACATGATCAAGAGATGGACACTAGCTACTGTGAAGCTTATAGTCATATTTGTACGATGCCTCTTGAACCATTACAACATTTTAACCAGAGTCCATCCTCTAGACAATTATCACTTACTGAATTAAATTGTCCTAAATGTTCACTTGTGTGCGTTCTTTGTTCAGTACAAATTTATCGATCTAGGGTCTTATACAAACCATCCATGTTATTGTACTATCCAAATCTGGACATATTTGAGAGTGAAAGTTGGTGTTATATATAATTATGATGTCACAAAAGGCATAACCTGGGATGGATTCAGGGAAACCAAGATATAAGATCACCTTAGTCATATATCTACTGAAGAAACATTTTAGTACCTCAACTAGGTTCTGTGGTAGGCTACCTCAGTTGAAATCCTGGCTCAGGCACTCTGTGTATAATAGTGATAATAGCCATACTTATCCTGTAGGGTAATTGGGAAGAATAAACACGCTAAGCAAATAAAGCATTTAATCTAGCACTGAGCACATAACAAAACCATCAATAAGTGTTAGTTTTTGTTTAAGTAATATATCCTTTATGTTCTCAATTGGTCATCTCATTTCAGGCACTTACAAAAACTGGTGACAACATATGATGCAAACAGAATTTAAGAGACAAAATATTTCACCACTAGCCACACTTTCCTGAAAACAAAAAATAATCAAAACACATTTTTCTTAACCAAATACATTATCTGAACACAAGCCAAGAATATGCTTGGCAGGAGCCAAGAGAGAGACTGACATGAATCAACCTGCTCTGCTAATTTCTGTATTAGGAAAATCTTGAACACAGGTTAGGTGGGTAAGACAACTAGGTTTCCATACTGCTCTCCTTGGAAAATTGTTGGAGAGCTGTTGGGTTGTTGCAAAGGATACATAAATCCATATCTCCACTAAGCATTGTCTGCAGACACATACTTAACATGATATGAAATTAACATCCATGGTATTGGGTTAATAAAGAGAGATTCATTAAGAGCTTTACGGATTTATGTTTGTCATTATGTTTTCTCTCCATCAATGTTAAAATTTCAACTACTACCATGAGCAGAGTCCTTGAAATTGTTGCCCCAAATAGAATGCAAATTCTTAAAGATTCAGAGAACCATTTGACTAGAATCAGGGGCCCTTCTTCTATGAGGGGCCAGATAGTAAATATTTTAAGGCTTTGTGGGCCATACAGCCTCTGTGACAACTACCCAACCCTGCCTTTGCAATGTGAAAGCAACCACAGATGATATATAAATAAATGACTGTGGCTATGTTTTGATAAAACCTTCTTTATGGACACTGTCATCTGAATTTCATGTAATTTTCACATGTCAGGAAATATTCTTCTTCTTTTGATTATTTCCACCATTTAAATGTGTAAAAATAATTCTCAGCTTGTGAGCCATACAAAAACTGGCAGCAAGGTGGATTTAGTCTGCTGGCTTTAGTTTGTTAACCACTGGACAAGAGGATTCACTCAGCCACATAGATGCAACCAGGGAGAAAAGCCTAGCAGTTGACTGCATAATTATGAAAGCAGGTTATAAATCACAGATTAAAAGAGAAGTATTGAAAGTCCCAAATAATATACTTGAGTAACTTCTCTAGGTGTGTTTTTTTTTCCTTTGCCTAGAACATCTGATGTGCTATTTTTAGGTATGCATTCTTCTTCTCATACTTCTATACCCTTGTATACATAAATTCTAATGTCAAGTGTTCCATGCCTTCCCAAACATATGCTGCTTAGAAACATAAGGCAGATTTTAATGTTCTTTCTTAATCTTAGAATGATAATTGCAATGAAAAAAATTGTACCTTTTTATGACTTTCATGATAGTTTTGCATTTATGAAATTTTATTCTCATCATTTTAATATAGCCACTGATGTACATAATACCTAACTTATCTATAATGTCTGGTTGAAAATATCCACAAAAAGATGAGTTAAAAACTCTAACACCTTCAAGATAAGACTTTAAAAATATCAAAGAACAGGAAATCTATTCTGTAATTACTCCTGATTTAGGATGTGCAGACTGAGACATTATGTTCTCATAAACTAGCAGAATGGATTTCGTCTATTATAGGTGTACTTCTTCTTCACGAAAGTGTACTTTCTATTACTGGGGAAACAAAGACATTTAATGCAAAGGGAGGCACTGAACAAGTAGGCTCTTTGTAAGAAAAAAAAAAAAAGAAACTTTCAGGATAAAATGAGTCCATGGCAGTTCATCACACGTGGTTTCTTCTTTTAATCCAGAAAACATTATTTCCAGTGAGCATTCAGTTTTGGTTGGGATGGTGATTCCTTGGGCAAATTTTAAAATTTATTTCACAATTTTCTAACTTAATGGACATGTCAGATACCTGAGGCTTCTGGAAATATGTTTAAGTAAAAACACTGCGATCTAAACAGCTATAAATAAGTTTTCCTGCTTAACAATTACTTTTTGCTTGAGGATAAAGCCATGAATAAGAGCCTCTCACCTTTTCCTAATTTCGGAATCCATAACAATCTGCCTCTTCTTTTGGGGAGGTGGTGGTGGCAGTTCCTCTTGGGCATGCTTTACCAGAATTTGTTCCCTCGTGGTCACCATAGTTACCGTTTCCATTACAGTTGTCTGTGTTAGTGATGGCTGAGTGGTGGTGACAGCCTGTGAAATCTGGGAGAAGTATTGAAACAGAGGTCACACACTGTTTGAAAGACTTCAGTAAAGCCTGCTTGAAGTGGTGAAGGAAAATAATGAGAAACTGTTCCTGCTTGTTGGTAAATTGACCTTCAGATCAAAATAGCACCATATTGAGCCCAAATCAAATTGTTTTATCTGACTTAAGTTATGTTGACTTAAATCACAAAGGAAAGTCATCTCAAAACCGGAAGTAAACTTAGTGTCTCTTCAATTTATTGGTCAAGCTATGGAAAATAAAGGTGGGGGAGGCAAAGGAGCAAAACTTAGGGTGTCACTCTGGCAGTTAATTAAACATGCTGTTTTAAGTGTTTACCACATTAACGTAAATTTTACTAAGGTATCCCAGCACCAATTTCATTGCCTGGACCAACTACAGATGTTTATTAGTGTGTTGAATGCATCTTTGGTTATCATATATAATAATTAGTTATAGTCCATAAATGTTTAAACAAAATCATTTGAACTTTACAATAAGTGACTTTTTAATCAAATAAGTACAATGTCCTTTAAAATTACAATAAAAGGTTAACATAAAGTGCCTATTAATCCAGTACATTTAACCTGAATGTTATTCAAAAGCTACAAAGCACACCACCCTTGTTTAACTAATGAGTATGTTAAAATATTTGAGTCTCCAAAGTTAGCATTAAAGATACTTCCTGGTTTAGAATCACGCTAACTTTGTGTTCACACTTTTAAAAATTATCTTTTAAGCACAGATCATCACTCCTTGGAATAATATGGTGTGTGGCCCAAATCCTGAGAAGCCATCACCTCAGTAAATGGGCATTACCAGATTAGCTATATAATGGCGAGATCCCCTCCCTTCCTTCCTCAATCACCAACTCTCTGTCTCACAGCCCTCCTGTTATTAGAACTGAATAGTTACCTGTTGAGATGTTAATCATTATTACCCTTCTAGTAATCTAAATCATTTGGAAGACCTATTTACAAAGAGACCAAAACACTCCTGCATTAGATCCACTTACAGTTACTTGATAAGCACAGAGCCAGGAATCCGGTTGAGGTCAAGATTACTTTGACTGACTTTCTTGAACTTGCCAAGAAATAACAGAAAGGGTTTGGGATAACCTCCGTGCCTCACACATGACTGAGTCCTTCAATGGGAGGAAATCAGAGAAGCCTCAGGATCTTATTGCAGCTTCCGAAGAGGCAATTGACAGTGGAGTAATGAAATCTTTTGTCATGATGTCTTGTGTAAAAATTGCTTTTGACAAATACATTTTAGAAGTACTACCCTTACACATGTCAAGGCCTTAGAGACTTCTATTTTGGTAGCCTAAATAGTTTTTTTTTAAAGGACTTTAAGAGGTACTGAGTTTCTGCCTACGTCAAGACAAGTTTTATCTTCTTTAAGATCTCCATATATTCATGATTTAGAATCCATCATTGAGCCTCAAACAATAATTATATAGCCCGTTGACAGGTTATACCAAAATGAAGGCAGAAAGTAACACAGCTGTTAAAAAAAATGCTTAAAATATAACCTCAAACCTAGCTGTCTTTAACCCAAAATGATCATTACAAGATGAAATTAAGTTTACCCTTAATTTAAAAAAATGTCGTTTTTAAGGAGGATTCCAAGAGCATTTAATTTTTTCAGAGTAATATTTTTTAACCATGAGCAAGTTTTTTTGCATACAATGATGGCTTGAAGAGAATACAGTTCAGGGGGAAATTTTCTAATTTTGTATGTGGAGGCACCAGAATGCAGAAATTCTGAAAATGCAAACGTATTGTTTACAGTTGTATCTAATGTTATGAAACATTTGTGCTACTGGATATTTGGCTGTGAAGTTAATTTCTGTAGTATTTTCTCACTGATACTTCTGAAATTGGGTAGATGGGCCCACCGAGAGTAAGGTATGGAGAAATGGCAACATCATATACTACAAAAAGGCATTTAGAAATATAGAAAACCTTCTAAGAAAAAGCAATCATTTTTAATAAAATAATAGTAAGACATAAATCTGTAATTGTTCTACACTATAATCATTACTGTACTGTAATTGAAAATACTCCTTTGTTTCCTTCGGGATGGAATAATGAAAAAAAAAAAAAAACAACTGTTCATTGACCCTGTAACCATAGGATATAATTTGTTATATATAACAAACTAATAATTACTTTCAAAACCTACTTCATATAATCAGAATAAAAACCAAATGGTCGTGTACTAAATTTCCCCATGGCTTTTAGTTATTGACTGTAAACTCTTAATTATGTGTTAGAATCATTAGAAATACAGACAAGAAGGGATTATGGAGGTCATTTAGTATAGCTTTCCACTTACTGTAGGATTTACTACTCCCAGAAGCAGATAACTCCTTCCGGAATATGGCAGCCAATCTTCCCATTGGCAAAGTTTTTACACCTAGTAGAAGCCTCCCTTATTATGGCTTGGTTCATTTAAAGTTTGTTTTGAATCCTGAACCAACACAGAGTAAAGTGAGTATTGTTTCTATCCGACAGTCTTAAAGATCTGAAGATTGATAATCATGACTCTGATAAATCTTATTTCCAAGTTTTAAAATATCAGGTATTTGCTAGAGTTAGATTTAATCTGATTTTGGTGCTCCAAAACCTAGGTTTCCTGACTTTGGACATCACATTTAATTAAAGCAATCTAAACTTGTATGAGTTACTCAGCAGCTGAATCATGTTTTAATTAAATTCTAGCCTGTATTCTATACGTATCACTACAGAATATTCAGAAATGAATAAAACGGAATCTTGATTTTTAGGGAACTTACAGTATAGTAGTGAAGGTGACAAACACACACATAATTGTGAGGCAAGGTGAGTGCTACGTGAAAAATAGGAGTATGCAAAATGATTACCTGCACTGAACATATAGTAATCAAGGCAGTTTCTTTTTAAATGTTACAAAAACAAATTTCCCTCAGCCAGGATCCTCACATTTAAATGTATCTAATGCTGCATATAACACTTATCTTTGTTTACAGGATAAGGTATAATGGAAAAATGTTGGAAAAAACTTAATGTCAGCAGGTACTGGCTTAAATAAATTATAGTACATGCATGTGACAGAGTTATTGTACATGTTTCAAATATTTTCAATGCCACTGGAAAATGTTTACATTATAGTACTGAATAAACAACACAAATGGTGGTTATGTTTTGGCAGAGAAAGCACAGATAATTTCTACTATGGACTATATATTTCTGTATTCTTTCTATTTTCCAACTTCCTACAACAAAACGTTTTCTGCAAAAGGTTGCGTTTGCAGGCAGTGAAAACTTTCAGAACTTTTCTGTTCAAATTGTTTTTAGGTCAGTCATACCTATGTATCTTTCAAACTAGGGAAGTATGTCATCCAAATACTTTAAAATAACTGAACATTAGGACAGCTGAAAATCTACTAAGAATGACTTAAGGCCACCATTAAGACGTTTAATGGAGCAGGGTCAAAATTAGAATATAACATAGTTTGAGTGATATTCCACAAACTCCAAGGCTACCTAAATAAACCCTCATTCAGTCGCCTTCCCCATTGTTACTTATACAAGTATAATTAACATACAGGGTTATATTAGTTTCAGATGTACAATAGAATGATTGAAGAATTCGATACATCTCTCATTGCTCAGCAATACAAATGTACTCTTAACTCCCTTTACTTATTTCACCCATCCCCCACCTACTTCCATTTTAATTATCAGGATATTGGAAATAACTTTCGAGTGTCCTCATGAAAATAAAATACATTTGTTTTTAAATACTATTCCCTTGATCTGTCAGTTAATCATCCAGTAAAAATGGAAAAGAGTTCCTTTAGACTGCTTACAGTGATTAAAACTGGGAGTCTTTGAGTCAGGCTCCACAATTCTCAAACCCCAGGTCCAGAGTTCACATACGGTAGCATTTAGGGTAGGTTCATTTGTCTCTCAGAACTTTGATTTCATTTCTTCATAGGTAAAATGGGAATGACAACACACCTCTCACAAAGGTGCTGCAAACAGGGCTGGCTTCATGACTCTGCAGCTTACGTAGCCCCCCAAGTCCCCTCCCTCAAAGAACCCCATGCTTGGTTTCATGCTCTGCTGTCACATTCTTGACATCCTTAATAATATTTGAACAACAAGCCCTGCATTTTCATTTTGTCCTGGGCCCCACCAATTATGTAGCCAAGCCTTAGTTTCAAGAATTAAATTATGTAATGTCTGAACACAACGCTTTCTCAGTATATATTAGTAATAACCACTATCTGCTCTAAATGTTCGTAGAAAATTTAAAATTTTTTCTCTACTGAACCTTCTTACTCATAAGGTTACCTATGTTAGTTTCCAAAAGTTAAATTTTCCCATTGTGGGAAAAACTGGAAGAGCATTTGCCCACTCACTTGATAGTTCTAGGGTATACATCTTCCTGTATAATAAGGTTATATAATTTTGGTAGTTCCGGAGAAATCAAACTACTCTCAAACAATAAAATTCTTTCTTGCCATCTTCTCTTCCATTTGTTTAAAAACTCACATTTCGAAAAGGAAATATATGCACATTCAAGCCCATTTAAAGAATATAAAAAGGCATACGATGAAAGGAAACATTTCAACCACTGTCTCCGGTTTCACAGGGGTAACTAGTTGTCTTTATCCCCAGCTCTTACATTTTAAATTAACTTTGTGGGTGCTGGTTCTTTTTCTTTTATTTTGGCTATATTCTTAACTGCATCTTTTATTTTTCCAATTAACTATTTAAATATTCTTGCCTTTAAAAGTTCTTTGGGGTTACAGATTTCTACTTATTGCAATGTGAGATATTCTACTATTTGAACATTTAAAGAAATTTACTAAAAGAGATTCAAGCTATGAAGAATCAGTTATCTACTTTATCTTATCATTTTCATTATTATGAAAATACTAATTAAGAATACCTACCAATTACAAAGCTCTTTGCATGTCCCAGGCACTATGCTAAGTGCTTTGCAT